CGGACTATCTCGTATCTACATTGCCTGCCATCCCATCGTCTAGTAGTGCTGAAGCACTCTCTGCACCACAGCATCCTATGCCCATGAGGTGATTCTTGTATTCCACCTTTGTCTCACCTGTTAAATTCGGCTGATTCGTGAAATCAAGCTTTACCGTACCTCTGAGTCGAATCGCAACCATGTCTGCGCATCCTATCCCCCCGCCACTTCCTGCCACATCGTGGACGCCGGCCACGCCACCTAATACGATGGTGGCGGCAGTCAAAACTGAACTGACTCACGTACCGGAAAGCGAACCATCTGATATAGTGGTATCCTCAATGCAAGAATCCAAACCACTTCCCGAAACTGCTCCTGCAGGACCTTCAAATGCCCTGCTTCCACCACCGACCTCGGCGTCAGCGAAACCACAGCCAAAACGAATACGAAAACCGGAATTATCAGAGGAACTAACGGCGCGTGATCTTGACTGGTTTAGATCCAAACATCAGAGCGTTTCTTCGGGTGATGAGGCTGCTCCCCCTCTTCCATCGCCTTCCCAGGTGGAACAATCTTCAACTTTGATAGTTAGTGACGGTATGCCTATCACTGGCCCATCCCCATCAAGAAAGAGGAAGACCACCGCACGAATGGTGCCGTCTCGCTATCCTCGAAAGATCCCACCTCCTGAAGCGACGCAGGAGCCAGATGTACCTGTCCCCGGCCCCATAGATCTGGACCCTGCGGGGAGTGCTGGGCAACGAGGATCTCCCGAACCCACTCATGCCCCTGACGTACAGCAACCGAGCGATTCACCTGTCATTTCCGCTCCCGGTAACATCGTGGTTGATGAACAGACCGCCGGACAACAGGGGTCTCCGAGAGATAGTGTGGCCCCTGACGTGCTACCAGCACCCGCACTTCCTCCCGCATCTGCCGACGATGTCGTTGCCGGACAGATCGTACAGCAAGAATCTCCCACGGACGTTCACAATGTTGTCCCTGTTTACACACGGCAACCAGCTGATTCCTTTACACCTGTATCCGTCGGCCATGTTGCGGTTGCTGAAAAAACTCGACAAGCACCTTCCAGCACCACTGATGACGTCGTCCGGGACATTCAACCGCAAGCTAGTTCTGCCATCATCCCCTCGACCGCCGACGGTCTCGAAGCAGCTGAACGGACCTCTGAGCAGCAAGAATCTCCCCGTGCCACTCCTGATCAAGCCGTCTCCTTTGAGGGGCAACAAGCAGCTGATTGCGCCCCTATTTCTCCCCCCACTCAAAATGTTGATGCTTCTCCACAAGCTACGGCGCATCGACAATTTTCAGAGTCCGCACGCGACGACGAACAGACGAGCGGGGAAACTGTCGCGACGACCATCGAAGAGCAACTTCCCCGCTCAGGACGAAAGTTTTCGCCTCCTGTTACACCAACTGACGTCACTATGGAAGCTGGTGAGACTGAATGGTCAGCTGATACAGACTTGTACGCGGAGCCACCGCAGGAAGCACCAGCGCCCTCAACAGAACCCCTACAATTCGAAGCGCCGCCTACTAAAATGGAGCCTTCGCCAATGGAAGTAGTCCCTCCAGAAATACCTGAGACTGTCGCCCAGTCAGATTCGAGAACATCTCCTCTCGCGTCTGAGGCAGCTGAAGAAGCTCCTCTACTTCAACGACTCGACAAGCCTCATTCCTCGCCGTTCTCGCCACCCACATCGCATCAGGAGCGAGATAATGCGAACGGTTTGCCTACCGATGGTCATATGTTCCCTTCACCACAAATCAAAGCCGAACTCGCAACGCCTCAGGTGGTTCCGACGTCACAGGACGTCCAGGCCAGGAAAGGGAGATTCGGAGGTATGATGGTTGTCATCCACGGCCTTCAGGGGAAACCGTACACTTGTACACACGACATTGAGTTCAATCTTGACGATACCTTTTTTTCTTGCATATCTACCTGGGTCAACAGAAAGGCGTCTCCAGAGTAGGTGAACGTACTATCTACCCCGCTACTGAACTAAAACCGCCAAACGACAGTGAGGTTTCACAGAGTGTTTGCATCTCTCTCGCATGTTATCGCCTTCCCGACTTGTTTGCTACTATCCAGTCAGAGAGCCAGTTGCAGGGGATCGCCGAGCTGACGTCTCACTCGTCGTGCTCCTGGCCAACTTCAGGCCGTTTGTCTTTGCAGATCGAGCGTCATAGCAAACATTATGTCATCCCATTATGTCCTCCCGTCATCGTATGTCCTTTGAGTTTTGCCCATCTGGTTAGAGACCTAATGATCCTACAGCTTACGCCCGACAACTGCGTGGACGTGTCATCGTTCATGTCTTCCGGTCACAACACTTTCCGGTTAACACAGCAAGGGGACCTGTCGGAGTTTGCGTTCGTATTCCATGCGCATCACCCCTCGGACGCACAGCTCGCGGAACTGAATGCCGTCGCGGTTGCCAGCAAACGATGGAAAGAGCTCGTCGGATGGCTTGGTTCGCCGATAGGGTCGCAGTCACCTTGGGTAACTTTCACCAGCTCTTCGATACCTCCCAGTTGAGCTTTTTTTTTTTTGGATGGACACTTGCGTGCATGGCGATCTAGAAAGTTTTTCATGGTAATATTGGTGGTTCCAGAGTGCTGTCTCGTATACATCTTGTAGTACAGTAGTATATACCTTTGTCCAGGTCCATGCATTAGGTTTCATGAAATCTGCAGTATGAATGAGCCAATTCTCTCCAGTAACGTTAGCTGTGTGCCGAGTCGGGCTGGCTGTTTACACGGTGCCACAAGCGCGTTCGAGTCGGACTCCCTTTGCTTCGTTCCGCCATGACCATGACACAAGCAAGAGATTTCTTGACCAAAGAACTCTTCATCAAGCACAATGTGGTGCGTGTATTAAGGCCGACGTTTGTCTGCACCCCTGCTAAGTAAGGCCTCCAGGTAACGTTCAGGTCGCTCAGCCGAGAGCTAGGCATACACGTCAATGACGCCAAGCAGTAAGTTATAAGGAGGCTCATACGCTCCGCAGAACGCAGCTCAACCATTTTCCTGCCCCCAAAAAAAAGCGAACTACAGGCATACTACGAATCTACACGAGATACGGATTCACCATCGGTGCCCACATATATGGTCTCCGGCGAAGTGGCGTCGCTTTGCTACAAGTCCAACGAAGACGATAGCAGGCGTGCTCCCGATGAGTACGCGGATGAGTATGACATGCAATTGGATATCAGTCTGGACGACGACGATGAGGAGCCGGACGTCGTGTTGATGAACAAAATGGCGTTCGTGGACGCCAAGGTTCTCAACGGTGAGTACGCACTTTGTGGCTTGGATCTAATGTTGTGGATGCGATGCTCGGATTCTAGAGACGATGTCTCAATTTGCGCGAGTTCACTCAGTCCATGTGTACTGCTTATCTCCGTCGAGTCTCAAGGTGCATATGCAGACCCATACTCTTCCGTATCTTTCGCCGATCTGATTCCGACATGTAGGATGCAGACATCATCTGTCCGGCGGGCACAAGCGTGCAGAACGCCGATGTGAAGGGTGGAGCAGAGATGTTTCCGATAATTGGAAAGATCGCTGGGAAACATGTTCAGGTACTTGTTCGCGTTTCATCGATAACGATGTTCTCGTGTTCTCATCTTTCCGTTAGCTGAAACCAGCGAGTGCTCGGAGTGCAGCTATAGCCTCTTCGTCAAAAAAGACGCTAGATCCTCCGTCAAAAGCAGCACCTGTGATCAAGTCTGAGCAGCCTGTCCAGAAAGGCAATACGGGTGTCTTGGAGCCCAAGAAGGAAGGGCCCACGAAGGACTCTTCGTCGAAAGTGGAACCAAAAGCAAAGCCAAAAGCGACTGGAAAGCTAGATTGGAGTAAGGCCAAGAGCAAAGACAAAGCGCCAGTCACCGAGACGCCCAAAGAAGCTTCAAATGTCAAGGCAGAGCCTAAGACAGTCCCCGACAACAAATCCAAGCAAATATTCCCTGAAAAACAGGTTAGCACATCTGAGCAGGTGACACTGTATCCTTCGCTTTTCTTTACTCAGCATTAATCATTCTTCAGCGTACTTTGAAACGGAAATCACGCAGCTTATCAGATTCTGAGGATGAAGTGTCTGCGTTGTCATCGGCTAAAAATCAGCCGGTTACAACTTCCAGTACCTCTAGTGTGAAAAAGGGAACCATCCTTTCAGATGATGACGATGACGACGACGTCCGCGCACCAGGGCGTCGCCGCCGAATGGGCAAAATCAATATTCACTCCGATTCAGAAATGAGCCTGAGAGCCATGATGGACATTGACGATGGTTCGTTTCTCGCTTTCTACAGTGACCGTTGACTCCAACGTTCAGTCCTGAAATAGAGGAAGTGGTGCAAGCGTCTAGGCGGAGAGACATCCGCGCAGAATCAGAGGAAGGGAGTGAAGCTGCAGAACTACACCAGGACGCCGCACATCCCCTCACCAGCGATGCCGAGGATGTTGACGACGTGCCTGTCAAGCAACCCAAGAAGAGGAAACCGCGCAAGGTTGTTCCGGTGGGACGAAATGGGCTCAAGAAAAAACGTGTTGTGAAAAGCAAGATGACGACTGACGCGAAAGGCTACATTCGTGAGTTTTGTCCTTTTACCCTTTTGATTCACATCCTCATGAAGGTCAATCAGAAACTGTGGATTACTCGTCATACGAGTCTGTCGAGGAAGAACATGTTGATGTTGATCCTCCAAAACGCACGCGCAAGAAGAATGCGGATCCTATACCGGGAGCAGCAGTATCAAAGACGGCAAGCAAGGAAGACGTGGCCACGAAAACGACGCCAAAGGCAACTTCGAAGGCCAGAGGGGCCGCGCCAAAACGCGGTGGTCTTCTTAATTTCTTCGGACCAGAGAAAGGGAAGAAGTAAGCAGATACGCCGATTTTTGTACCTTTTTCCTCGGCTCTGTCTTTGATCGTATGTTTGGGCTGTATCTCAATAAATTGAAGACTATTTGTACTTCGGATCAGAGGCAGGCAATATCGGTTCAATGGTCTAATGGTTATGATTTCTGTCTCACACGTTGTGCACAGAAGGTTCCCAGTTCGATCCTGGGTTGAACCACTTTTTCTCTTCCCCGATTACACACGTCCGCGAGCAGTCCCCCTTCCTTCCGGAAGGATCGAGGCACGGATCAATTACAATATGTCCCCGTTGATGTGCCCAGAATTGACGCGAATTCTGTCCTTAGATCATCGACGAGTACCAGCAAAGTACCAGAGTCACAGGTAGGGGACCGACGTCTTGTTTCTGGTTCAACAACTCGTGAAGGGAACAGCCATCCATGAACCCCAGCGTTGGAAAACCTCCATTCTGGGAGATAACTAGGAATATGTATGAATGTGTGGGTTAGCGTTCACGTTGAACACCGTGCGGTTGTTTGATTTGAGGTAGAGTCCTTTGCCAGAGTAGATATACTCACCATACTAATGGTGCCGCCACGTAAACGACTCGGACCATTCGATCGTCATGTTCGCCGAAGGTACATAATCTAGAAAATGAGGTTGCTCAGAGTAATTCGATAGCACCTGCTTGACCATGCCATAGGGCCTCATATACTGTATACTCACAATGGCGATACACAGTGAAAGATTGTCGCAAGATTATCCTGCTTAAATGATTCAGATAATTCAAGTTAGCTAAACGTGCCCGTACGTTGATCAATTGATGACATTGACATCAATGACAAGCTTGAGACGACGCCGGTGTGCGTCGAATGAGCTGGAACCACGTGACCACGGGGGAGACGCTTCAACAAAGTCACAACTTGCGAGTGGACGACGAAGCTTACAGTGTACACTACTCATTGTACTATCTATCACTATTGAAACTTCTTCAACAACATGGGTAAGCTCATGCGATGGACTCTTTTTTGTGACTGACAACCGAGCTCGCTCCAGGTATTCCGAAGGTGGGTTATTTTTGCAGACCCGACCGCGAGTGCTAATCCTAAAGACTTAGTTTTTCCGCTATATTTCGTGAGTACACTCCATAAAGCAAGGTCTTATCCTGACTAGCCTTGCAGTGAGCGGTACCCATTAACCTCCCAGCTCATTGAGGAGAACAAGATCCCAGAGTTCGGTAAACGCACGAGCTTGCTTGCAGTGCAGCCCTCGCTGACTCTTGAGCAGATAACCTTTACCTCGACTTTAATGGAATCATCCACAACTGTATGATGCGCTTCTCTATCCGCTGTCTTGATTATCCGAACGGTTCCTGTAGGTTCACATCCCAATGATGACGATGCACATTTCCGGATGTCCGAAGAACAAATATTCACATCTATATTCACTTACGTCGACCTATTATTTGGGAAGATCAAGCCAAAGAAGTTATTCTTCATGGCTGTTGATGGTGTTGCTCCTCGCGCCAAAATGAATCAACAACGTAGTCGCCGGTTCCGTACTGCAAAGGAAGCGAGGGAGACTCGTGAAAAGGCCGAAGCAAGAGGGGAAGAGCTGCCTGAGGAGAAGGCATTTGATAGCAACTGCATCACGCCAGGTGTGTGACGAGCGATTTCACTTTTCTGTAGTCTTGATGGCCTTCCAGGGACGGTTTTTATGGCAAAGCTGTCCGACCAATTGCGGTACTTCGTAAATAAGAAGATCACCGAGGATGCGAACTGGCGAGATGTGCAGGTTGTGTTGTCCGGTCACGATGTACCAGGGGAAGGAGAACACAAGATCATGGAATATATCCGGCTGTCGCGAGCTCAGCCAGATTACAATCCTAACATTCGACACTGTTTATATGGGCTTGACGCTGATCTTATCATGCTTGGCTTGCTCAGCCACGATCCGCATTTCTGCCTCCTTCGTGAGGAAGTCAAGTTTGGGCCAGCTAGGAAGAAGGGAAACAATAGGTGCGCCTACCCTTGTTATCAGTGATATATCACTAAACGTGTTTGTAGTTTGGAGTCTCAAAACTTTTATCTGCTACATCTGTCTTTGATGCGCGAATATCTCAACTTGGAGTTCCGCGACATAGAGAAAAATCTGCAGTTCGACTATAATTTAGAACGCGTCATAGACGACTTCATTTTGCTTGCGGTCTTCGTCGGGAACGATTTCTTGCCTAATCTTCCCGACTTGCATATCCACGAGAACGGACTTGAACGCCTCTTCGAGGTGTATAAGAAGGTCCTACCTTCACTCGGTGGGTGGTTTGAACCCTTGGGACATGCTTCATGAGTATTGAATTAGCATAATAGATGGCTACATAAACAAGGAGGGAACGATCAATACGAAGCGGTTGCAAGTGATACTGGATGAAATGACGATTTGGGAGCGAGAAATTTTCGAGAAAGAATATGCAGATGCAAGCTGGTTCAAAGGCAAGCAGAGCAAGCATGCACGGGAGATGGAAATGGGCCGGAAACGTGCTGGGTTTGGTTCGTATTCATTCTGAAGTTTGGGTCATGTATTGATATGGCTTGTTTGCAGTTTTGACGAAAGGTCAGCGAAAAATATTCAATGACGTGAAGTCCTTTGTTCTGGGAAACCGAGGGAAGCCACCCAAGCCCGATGTGTCTCTTACCATGCCGAACCTCTTCCCCGCGCGAGACCGGAAGTTCATCAGCACGCTCAGTGCTGACCTACATCTATCAGTCTCATGGGATGAATTTGATGAATATGATCAGAATCTCATCACTTTGCGGCTACCAGGCGTATCGGAGGAAGAGCAATCTGAACCTACGAACGGGAGCGATAATAATGGTGTTGAAAACGATGAGGGGCAATGGGAAGACGTTTCAGACGAGGAGGATGAGGAAGGCGGACTAGCAGTTGATAGAGTGCTGCAGAAGTATGAGAAAGCACGCACGGTGGATGAAGATGAAGGCGGTGGTTTTGATGCACGACATGAGAAATCAATCGACGACAAGATGGCAGAATGGAAGAGGAGTTATTACAAGGTACGTTTACTCTCTTCTTGGACATCCCGCCACTCATGTAAGACGTTGGGACCAGGGTAAACTCGACATGTCATACGATGATCCTGAAGAGATGCAAGCACTGGTTTTCCGATACGTAGAGGGATTGCAGTGGGTCATGCATTACTATTATAGTGGTGTCGCGTCCTGGGGCTGGTTCTACAACTACCACTACGCTCCGCGGATATCAGGTAACGTTTTCGCATTCCATATGTCCTGATATTCACTCTCGTTAGATCTTCGTGACATCGGGAACATGGTCTTCGACTTTACACTTGGAAAACCATTTCGTCCCTTTGAACAACTGATGGGAGTTCTCCCGGCAGCAAGCAAGGACCTCATCCCTCTCGCGTATCAGGTGGCTTCGTTTCTGTTCACACTATCAGCAAACTTATCGGATCGTGTTAGGATTTGATGCATGATCCAAACTCCCCCATTCTAGACTTTTACCCTGTAGAGTTCGAGCAAGATTTGAACGGGAAGAAACAAGACTGGGAAGCAATCGTCAAAATTCCGTTTATCAACGAGGATCGATTGCTACGAGCCATGTCATGTGCTATTCTTTCCCTTAACCATCACTTGCCCATACTCACACTTTCTTAGCCCGCGAGCATCGGCTGACAGCAGAGGAGCGCAGGCGCAATGGGTTCGGAACTAGCACCAAATTCTCCTTTAGTCCTGCAGAACCGACGGTCTATCCGTCTTCATTGCCGCATTTTTTCCCCGCAATTTATCGTTGTACTTGTGCGATGGAGCCCTTCGATCTCCCGACACTGGACGGCCTTCACCTCGTTCCCGGACTGTGTGATGGCGTTTTCCTCGGTGCGCAAGCGCTGGCGGGTTTCCCATCACTCGATACGCTTCCTTTCACAGCGCAGCTCGGCTTCCATGGCGTAAACGTCCATGGGTCTGACAGCCGCAATAAATCAATGGTAGTACATATCCAAAATCCTCACGAGAATCGCAAGATCGAGGACATTGCCAAAGAGATGGTTGGCAAACGTGCCTGGATTGGATGGCCATTCCTTCAGGAGGGAATTGTAGCTGCAGTTTCGGACTCGCTTTTCAAGTACGAGCATATGGTAGTCATACCTGGAAGCCCGCCCAAGATCGTAGCCAATCCGCATGCACAGCAAGGTTTGAACTATTGGAAGACGAAGGCAGAACGAATCGAGCACGTGTATTCCAAGAAGCGTGGTGTCATTACAGGCAGCGTCGATGTCCTTGTCCACGTTAGGCCGTTGAAAGGTGAGCACCAAGCGTACCCTGATCTTTCGTACCCAACGGGTCCTTGTCAGGCATGAAGCGCCTGGACTCTGGGGCATTCGTGAAAGATTACGAAGGTGCCGATAAAGAGGTCGAACATGCAGTGCAGATCGTCCTCTCGCAAGTTGCCTCTGAAGATCCACGTTTCCTCGAAAAAGACGCTCCACCATTGTCAGAGGAATTCCCTGATGGCTGTAAAATCTTTTTCTTGGGAGAACATGGGTACGGGGTTGCGGCGCAAGTCGCAAGCACTACCAGTGACACGCTTTCAGTGATTCTCGCGGTAAGTAGTCGTGTCACCGTTCTCAGTCAGCTACCTCACGACTTGTAGTTCTTCCCGTCTGACAAAGCCGAGAACGAGCATTTCAAAACTATCGTGGACAGCCGCGCCTCGCAACAGTATCACCCCTCTTTCAAAGCTGCCAACATGCTCCGTCTTTCAGCTCGAGCTCTCTCTAAAATCACATCCAGTTTTATGGTCCTGACGTCGGACAACTCCAAGATTAACCTCGGGTTGAGTCTCAAGTTTGAAGCCAAAGGCTTGAAGGTCATCGACTACTCTCGCAAGAATGGAAGATACTGGGATTTTAGTGAGAAAACGATCGATCTGATCCGAGAGTACAAGGTCAGTCGTTCGGTCTCAATTTGATATTACGGTAGATGGTTTACCATTGGATCAGGCCAGGTTTCCGGAGGTGTTTGAGATACTCGACCAATACGGAGACGGTATGTACAGCTGCAGATATACTTCGATTTATCTAATCCTTGTCGTAGAAATGGCTCGAGCATCCGACATTTTTAAAGAAAATGCTGACACACATGTCAAGGAGGTGAAAACATGGCTGAAGTCCAAAGGCATCCGCGACTT